GGTTATTTTCACACTTAATTATGCCCATTAAAATATATTTTACAAGTTTTTGTTACTTTCAGTGTTCATTGTTTTGCTCTGTGGTACATCATCTTTACTGTAACAGCATTAGAGCTGCTCCATTGCAGCGGCTTAGTACTGTAATCACACGCTTTGCTGTAATAATGCAGGGAACCACTCGCTATAAATCTCCTAACTGTGATATTTTCAGAAATAGAAGTGGCGTTTTTTCATCTGAAACGTGCTGCGATTTATATTCCAAAACCACTCATATAATGCAGAAACGCAAGCAAGCAAAACACGCGCAACGCGTGCAGATATTTGTACTGATGCAGAATAGTACAGCCTAGTGCATTTCACACAGGCTGCTAGATTCACTTTCACAAGAAAGTCGTGTCTGACTAAGGTTGAAAATACATGATGTTTATAGTGAATGCCCCTATAAATGGTCTTATTTTTATGATTTAGTTTTAATCCAAATGATGCGTGTGCTAAGTGAGCGAACATCAAAGATCACACAACAGAAGTGCGCTCTCGCTCTCGCTCTCTCTCTCTCTCTACCATTAAGTAATTTGTGCATTGTTTTACTTACTTGTTTTTGACATATCCGACCGAACTACAAACTTTCCAGTGATGTCTGTGAGAAAGGTATATTCACTCGACAATCTCGCGCATCTGCGCCGCCACGCGCTCAATCCACTCAGCGTGCTTTATCAGCTCGCACACATCAGCTATACAGGCGTTAATATGAATATTTAACATTATATTCATTGCATACATATACTTCGTAGTAGACATCCTAAAGTCCTTTCTGCTGTCTGTTGTTCTGTAGTCGGTGTTTCATTGTCTGAATAGGGCACTTAACACATGCTGTGTGGTATCGGCATTTGATATCGGGGCATTTTAACGAGTACGAGTATGAGTACAGGAGCTCAGTATCGGGCCGATACCGATACCAGTATGAAAATATGTATGTGAACAATCGCTTCATGAAATAAAACTTGTGATATAAATTAATGATCATGCTGACAGTAATCAAATATAATTCTTGACGGTTTGGTCTTGATTAATTTATATACTGATATAATTTGTGCAAAAGGGTACTAGGAACTTTACAAAATATAAGGTGCTTCTCATTAAATCTACATATTCATTTCACCAGGACATTTAGTAGTTTTGCTTAGCCTTGTTCATGTAGTTTGCTAACTCGGACAATAAGAAAAGGTACAGGATTGTTTTTAATCTCCACCTAATTTAGTATAACTTTCAAATTCTTATCACATATTTGAAAGTAATATAATTAGCACATAATCCAATAAATACTACAGGTGCATCTCAATAAATTAGAATGTCGTGGAAAAGTTTATTTATTTCAGTAATTCAACTCAAATTGTGAAACTTGTCTATTAAATAAATTTAATGCACACAGACTGAAGTACAAACCCGATTTGTGAATTGTTGGCCTTCTGGAAAGTATGTTCATTTACTGTACATGTACTCAATACTTGGTAGGGGTTCCTTTTGCTTTAATTACTGCCTCAATTTGGCGTGGCATGGAGGTGATCAGTTTGTGGCACTGCTGAGGTGGTATGGAAGCCCAGGTTTCTTTGACAGTGGCCTTCAGCTCATCTGCATTTTTTGGTCTCTTGTTTCTCATTTTCCTCTTGACAATACAAAAAAAAAGAGAATCTATGGGGTTCAGGTCTGGTGAGTTTGCTGGCCAATCAAGCACACCAACACCATGGTCATTTAACCAACTTTTGGTGCTTTTGGCAATGTGGGCAGGTGCCAAATCCTGCTGGAAAATGAAATCAGCATCTTCAAAAAGCTGGTCAGCAGAAGGAAGCATGAAGTGCTCCAAAATTTCTTGGTAAACGCACCCGTGACAGTGACGTTGGTTTTCAAAAAACACAATGGACCAACACCAGCAGATGACATTGCACCCCAAATCATCACAGACTGTGGACACTTAACACTGGACTTCAAGCAACTTGGGCTATGAGCTTCTCCACCCTTCCTCCAGACTCTAGGACCTTGGTTTCCAAATGAAATACAAAACTTGCTCTCATCTGAAAAGAGGACTTTGGACCACTGGGCAACAGTCCAGTTCTTCTTCTCCTTAGCCTCTGACGTTGTCTGTGGTACAGGAGTGGCTTAACAAGAGGAATACGACGACTATAGCCAAATTCCTTGACATGTGTGTGTGGCGGCTCTTGATGCCTTGACCCCAGCCTCAGTCCATTCCTTGTGAAGTTCACTCAAATTCTTGAATCGATTTTGCTTGACAATCCTCATAAGGCTGCGGTTCTCTCAGTTGGTTGTGCATCTTTTTCTTCCACACTTTTTCCTTCCACTCAACTTTCTGTTTACATGCTTGGATACAGCACTCTGTGAACAACCAGCTTCTTTGGCATTGAATGTTTGTTGCTTGCCCTCCTTGTGATATATATATATATATATATATATATATATATAATGTGGTATATTTTGTATAAGGTGTATGGATGGGGGTATCTTATGTAGATGTTGCATAGTGAAAGTAATGTTCTGGGAATAATTAGCTGCTTTAGAATGTTTAAACTGCAGAGGGTATCAGAGCCTTCACAAACAATTATCAATTATCTTTTAACGACCAGTTTCCCAGGTGAACAATGTTTCATGTAATTAGTCATTTGCTCTAATTGGACTGGTGAAGGCTTATAAAATACACGTACCTCCATTTGCATGTATGCTTGGATTTGTAGATTTTGTGTAGTGGTTTAACAACGTGAACACTGGTGGGGTTTTTGGAGTACTTGTGGATTTTTGTCATGGGTCAAGGGTGGAAAAGGTGAGTTTATTAATTCGATCTGTGTTTGTGTATGATTCTGTGAACTTTAATTATACCTTTTTTTTTGTAGGTTGTCTTTGGCTTGTAGTGTTCTTGCTATTTTGGAAGAATGCTGATGGAGTTAAAGGTGTGGTGTTTCTTTTTCTTCCTTTGTCTTGCAATGATGCATGTTTAGTGGTGCTTGTGTAAGGTCTTTTGTGTAATTCTATAGATAGAGCTTATTCCAATGCCCATCATCTGTGGGGTCAGCCTTCTGATGCTCTTTCACCTCATGCAGTCCAGTCTTCTATGTCAGAGACCCGTGTGACTTTGCCTGTTGAAGTAAGCTCCGGTTTGTTCCCTAAACAACCCCTGAAAAGCAGGTCAAAGCTTGATGTACTCCAGTTTGTCAAAGGTGGTTCTAGCAGCTATCAGTAAACGTCCCTTGCCCAAACTGCTCCAGGCAGCTCTGTATCTGCTTCCTTGCCTCTGCCCCCAGTTCAACAGCCTTCAAGCAGTTTGGTGTCCTCTGGATCAGCCATTTCGGGTGTTGCTAGTGGATCAATTTTGGAGACCCAGTATGCTGCAAGTGGTTCTGGATCCCTTGTTTCTAACCAAGGAGAGGGTAATGGCTACGCTGAGCTTGGCATTTCTGGCCCGTCTACCAGTGATAGTTTGCATGTGTCCAGCTCCCAGGCAACATCTGTTCATCAATCAGCAGACGCCTCTTTGCCCGTGTTCTCTCAGGAGAGTGTCCCTTACAGCAGTTCATATGCTCCAGGTGCCATTTCCACTTCTCAAGGTAACCTTGTACTTCCAGAAAGTTCAGGTCAACCTTTGTTTTCTCAGGGGGAAAGTAGCTACAGTGGTTTGCCTCAAGGTGCTTCTAGTCGATATACCCCAGACTCCAATACTAAACTCGGTTCAACCATTTCCAGCCTGTCCACTGGGGACCAGAGTTCTCCCAGTCGGTTTAGTTCCAGCTCTCAGGGTAGTTCTGGCTTAGCTTCTGGTTCTTCCTTGGCTGGGCTTAGTACTCTTGCTGACTTGTCTTCCAAGTCCCCAGAGACATCCAGTCAACTTCTAGCCTTGGTGGTATCTAGCCAGTATACTAGTGCTCAAATCTCGCCTAGTCTGCTTGTAGTTAGCCCTCAGAGCAGTTCTGATTCAAAGTCAAAAGATGCTGCTGCATCTCTGTACACTTGGGGCACTGTCCCTTACAGTAGCTGGTCTAGCCAGGCTCAAGGCTCTGCCACTTCTCAGGACAGCTCTGGGGCTGTATTGTCTGCAAGTTCTGTCCAGTCTATCCCCACACAAGTAGGGAATAACCGTTACAGTGGTGTGTCCCAGTCTCCCACTACCTCCAGTCTGTATACCGCAGGATCCCGTATGTCTAACAAGCTTGATGCTTTACCCCTGGGGGTTTCTAGCCAGTCAACAAGTGCTCAAAGTTCACCTAGTGTGTCTACATCAAGCACTCAGACCAGGTATGGTACTCCGTTAGCAACTTCTAGTCGTTATGTCCCTGTACAGGGAGCTAGTAGCTCTAATAGTTTTTCTCTCAATCCTCCGGGTACTCTGGGTCAGTATGCTCCTGGATCCCCTACCAAATATGCAAGCGCTCGCATGTCTTCACCCCAAGCTAGTAGTAGCGGGTCTTCCAATAAAACCGTTTCACAAGTTGGTTCTCAGTCTCAAATGGGAGCTACTGGTCAGTTTACATCTCAGGGAGGGAGCTATTATAGTGGGTTGCTTCCACAGTCTCCAGCTACCTCTAGTCAATCTGCTCTTGGCTACTCCAAGCTTATTTCCTCACCCCAAAGGACTTCCAGTCAGTCTGCCAGTGTATTGAGTTCCCATAAGCAATATGCCTCTGCCTCCCAAGGCAGCTTTGGGGCTCAGTTTGGGGCCTCTACAGGTTTTGCCTCGCAGGGAATGAGCAGCTCTTACAGTGGTTCTGTCCAGTCACAAGGTACCACAGGTCAGTTTGCCCCTGGCTCTCCATCTTCATATGATGGTTTATATTGCAAGTGTGCACTGTCATCCCAAGGTGTAGATAGTCAGTCTACTATTCAGAGTTCACGTAAGCAGTTCACCTCTGGCTATGGCACCCAGTCAGGGTCTAAAACCTTCACTCTGCAAGGAAGTATCGCTTTTGATGGGTCACCACAGCCTCAAGGTACTGAAAGTCAATTTCCCCCCGTGTCTCCCTCATATCCAAGTGTATCATCCCCATCCCAAGATGTTGCCAGTCAGTCTACTACTGTTCAGATTTCTCGGAAGCTACTTGCTTCTACCTTCACAGGCAGCTCTGGCACCCAGGCAGGGTCCTCTACTCCCTTCACTCTGCAGGGAAGCACTGCTTATGGTGGAGCACCTCAATCTCAAGATTCCACAAGTCAGTTTGCCCGTGGACCTCAATCCCCCTATGCAAGTGTGTCCCTGTCCTCACCCCAAGGTGTTACTGGTCCTAGTACGGTTCAGAGTTCACGGAAGCAGTTTACTTCTGTATTTAGAGGCAGCTCTGGGGCTCAATTTGGAGCTTCTACTGGTTTTGCCCCAGAAAGCGTAAATCGCCTTTACAGTGGTTCTGTCCAGTCTCAAGATCCTGCAAGTCAATTTGCCCCAGGATCTAAATCCTCCTATGCAAGCGTATCCCTGTTCTCCCCACAAGCTGGTCCATCTACTACTGTTCAGGGTTCTCGGAAGCAGTTTACATCTACCTTCACAGGCAGCTCTGGCTCCCAGGCAGGATCCTCTACTCGCTTCAGCCTGCAGGGAAGCACTGCTTATGGTGGATCCCCTAAACCTCAAGATGCCACTAGTCGGTTTGCCCCTGGTTCTCAGTCCTCCCATGCAAGCGTGTCACTGTCTTCACCCCAAGCTGGTCCATCTACTACGGTTCAGAGTTCTCGGAATCCGCTTACCTCTACCTTCACAAGCGGCTCTGGCACCCAGGCTGGGTCATCTACTCCCTTCCCTCTGCAGGGAAGCACCACTTATGGTGGATCACCACAGCCTCAAGATACTGCTGGCACATTTGCCCCTGGGTCTCTGTCCTCCTATGCAAGTGTATCCCTGTCCTCACCCCAAGCTGTTGCTGGTCCTAGTATGGTTCACGGAAGCAGTTAACTTCTGTATTTAGAGGCAGCTCTGGGGCTCAAATTGGAGCTTCTACTGGTTTTGTCCCAGAAAGAGTGAATAGCCGTTACAGTGGTTCTGTCCAGCCTCAAGATACTGCTAGCCAATTTGCCCCAGGATCTCCAACCTCCATATACAGGTTTATCATTGTCTTCACCCCAAGGTGTTGCCAGTCAATCTAGTTCTAGTTTGGGGCCTCTACAGGTTTTGCTTCACAAGGGATGAGTAGGTTTTACAGTGGTTCTGTCCAGTCTCAAGATCCTGCAAGTCAATTTGCCCCTAAACCTCAATCTCCTTATGCAAGTGTATCACTGTCCTCCCCCCAAGCTGGTCCATCTACTACTGTTCAGGCTTCTCTGAAGCAACTTTCTTCTACCTTCACAGGCAGCTCTGGCACCCAGGCAGGGTCCTCTACTCCCTTCACTCTGCAGGGAAGCACCACTTATGGTGGATCATCTCGGCCTCAAGATGCTGCTAGTCAGTTTATCCCTGGGTCTTCATCCCCATATGCAAGTGTGTCATCGTCCTCATCCCAAGGTGTTGTTAGTCCGTCCAGGCAATCGTATCAAGGCTATTCTGTGTCCCAAAGCCAGAAGTCTCAAAGATGGCAGCCTTTAGCCACTTGTTGGACACAAGGTATTCGGACCTCCGATGCTGCTTCACAGGATAGCTCTTCATCTCAAAGCTCTCCAATGCAGTTATATTCCCTGTCATCTGCAGAAGGCTCATCTTCAAGAGTTTCTGGTCCGTTTGTTTCTGCACTGGGTGGTAGCACCAGTTACGGTGGGTCTTTCCAATCCCCAAACCTTTCTACAAAGTATACCCCTGGGTCCCAGATCTTGCCCTATGATCCAAGTGTTTCTGGTCCAGGTACATCCAGTGCTTCTGAAGTCTTGAGTAGCTACAGTTCAATTAACCAGAATGCTCCCGCTCCATCCCGCAGCTCTTCCTCAAGCCACTTCTACTCAGTCAAGGGTTGAAAGACTCCAGTAATCTGCTGCAAATGTCCTCCAGAATTGAAACCCCAATGTTTTAAGCAAAGTTGTTTTCTCAGTGTGTCTTTTCCCCCACCAAAAATGGCAAAGTCTCCATACAATTCATCGTAATATAATTGACCAATATCGGGGGGAGGAATACATTAAAAAAAAACACTAGATGGATTAATCTTCATTCAAACCATTTGGTTGTACAGTGTTAAGACTAAAAATCCGAGTTACAATTTTCAAAAACAGTCCAGGCTATAGGAATGTGCAGGTGCGTAGCGTTTCTTTATAAAGTGACCAGCTACTGATAGTAACAACAGAACTATTCATCACAAACTTAGTATTTCACCAAATTTTACAATTTATTTTTTTTAATTGCAGTATATCAATGTGTGGCTAGGGGCACTTTAAATCTTGGTGCTAAAATATCAGTGATCTGTATTAGCCTAATTTTTTTTTATTGGTGCAACACTTTTTTAAAAACTCAGCATAACATTAGCTTTTATATAAAATCTGTGATTACTAAAGGCAGGCCTGGTTGTGATAAACTATGATTGTGCAGCAGCAGCGACGTGTCATCCAGTAGAAAATGTTATTTATACCACAGATTTAGAATGAAATCTGGTCACAGGTCTGCATGTATTATGGAATATAATATATTATTGAACGGTGAAGCAGCTCAAGCTCGTTCAGTCAGAATTTAAGTCTATCCATCAACTGTACATTTTCTTATTTTATTAATGCTAATGTTATCTTTTGGTTTGTGTCTGTTGTTGCAAATAAAAAGAGAATGTATTAAGTAATACATATATATATATATATATGGAAATGCATGGCTTTTCACTTCACAAAACATTAGCTGATATATATATATATATATATATATATAACAAAAGGTAAATGTAGTCCGTGTGATATTAGATTTTGGTTTTAATCTTTGGGCTAATTTTCTCAAATTCCACTGTTTTATTTAATTTGTCCACTGCCCTAAAACAGTTGTGCATGACATTGATGATGCTACCACAGAGTGGCGCTGTGGTCATTAAAATCATAAAATAATCATGAAAAAATATATATCCATTTCTCACTGGGCTGCCCTTTGAGACCATTTCTGAGACATTTTAGTGGGCAACAGAGTGGACATGTAATTGTATGTATGAAATTATGCCGCTCTCTAGTGTTAATGAAACAAATGAGGATGTTAATGCCTGACAATGCTGATAATACTGTACAATGAACAGAGAGAACATGAGACGAATTTAAAGGCGGAATCCTAAATATTGCTGTGTTTACTAGAGGTTTGACGATTGTGATCTGGTTTAGCACTGTTTTCTCATTTTCATGTAATGCTCTTCTATCAAAATATTGCTTTACAGGACACGCAGTGTGTGTTTTCCTTTCTGTCCAGCTGTGTGTATGAAATTGCTGGTGACTGAAATGTGTGGGTTCAGTGTTTGAGGCCATTTCCTGATAGAAATGGAATATTATTTCCATGTGTTTGTATCTAAAATTACAAAGTCATGGAAATAGTCATGTCATTTGCACAGGAGAGACCAAAGTGAAGGTGTTTGGGCGTAATGCACAATGCCAATTTCGACAACCCTAACAAAAGGTATCACAAAAAGCACCAAAAGTTATGATAAGATATCAATTATGTTGGTGGAGGGTGATGATTTAGGCTTGTTTTGCAGCCACATGATTTGAACAGCTTCCAGGCATTGAGTCCACCACGAACTCCTCTGTATACCAAAGTATTCTAGGGACAAATTTGAGGCCATCTGTTCAACATCTAAACCTTGGCTGAAATTGGTTGTAAATTAGAAGTCATTTTCAAGGAATAAAAGTCCACCCAAAACTAAAAATTATTTCAAAAATACTCACACTCATGTGGTTACAAGTATGAGTTTATTTCTTCTGTGGACACAAACTGAGATTAAATTGTTGCTGAATAGTAAAACAAATATTTCATTAATATTGCATTAATACAAATTAGAATTCATGGTTATGGAATAATCAGGAAAACCACAACCCCATTGTGACGTGCTGAGGGATAGTACACACAAAACTAAAAATTCTGTCCACTTCCTCCAGTTTTTTTTTTTCTTTTTTCTTTTGGACACAAAAATTCCATTGCTCTAATTCTTAAAGGAACAGTTCTCCCAAAAATGAAAATGTACTAAAACACCCTCAGGACAATCAAGTTTATTCTTCTGAAAAGATTTGTTGAAATTTAGCATTACATCACTTGCTCACTATCCTCTGCAGTGAATGGGTGCCTTCGGAATGAGAGTCCAAACAGCTGATAAAAACATCACAATAATCCATAACTAATCCAGATGACTCCAGTCCATCAATTGTCTTGTGCAGTGAAAAAGGTACGTGTTTGTTATAACAAATTCAAAATCAAGACATTTTTAACTTCAAACCATTGATTCTGGTTAAAATAAGAGTCCTCTATTTATAATATTGCTTTCTCCAGTGAAAAAATTGTCTCGTCTGAATCAGGAAAGAAATATACACAGATCAAACATCGATTACAAGCGACAATAAGAACAATTATAAGCAAATGTCAGTGGATTTTGATAAGAAAGGCCAAAATAAATGGATGGACTTCTTCACTGGATGGAGCGTTATTATGAATTAAGGACTTGTATTCTGGCCAGAAGCAATGGTTTAAAGTTATAATGCAATAATGCCTAATTGTTGCTTACAAACGCGTGGCTTTTCACTTCACAAAACATTAGCTGATGGACTGGAGTCGTATAGATTAATTTTGGATTTATTATCAGCTGTATCTGCACCCATTCACTGCAGAGGATCCACTGCTTTAATTGTTTTCTACACAGACATGTCTTGCTCATGCTTGAGCAATACGTTTAACCATAGTGTCAATTTAAAAGCCCAACTTTTAAATGCATCTGTACTTCATCACGCAATTTGTAAACGCAAAAATACTTTCTGTATGAACTGCCACAAGACTTCTGCCAATATGCTCAATCTATGTAGCACTGTCTGAAAATGCTCAATCTTGTCTGGAAAAAAAAGAGCGTAATAATCAGCATATAGACTGTTTCCCACTCTCTGACTAAATGCTCACTTCAGAGCATCTGTCAGACTCTTCATAGCCAACCAGCAGGCTTTTGTGAATGAGAAATGTTTTTGATGAAAGCTCTTGTACCACTCTTGTCTTTTGTAAAGGGACGAATCCTGGCATACAGTGCTCTGCTTGGCAGCTCATCTCTCTTTTCTGTAATCATCATTAAAATCGTTCATCCTGCTGCTCCAGTGTGACCTCATTGTCACATCCCATAGGTCAACATGCGTCTGCCAAACACTAAGGCCACTATCATGGACAGACGTGTCAACGGGCCCTCAGGAGCATTCTGGTGCCAAAAGCTAGTAATGGATTATTGTCATGACATATCACCTTTTGATTTGTCACATGTTAACAACAAATTGCATGGTGGGTGTTGTAGAAATCCATGAGAAGAGTGGAGGGAAAACCAAAGACCTTTTTATCCCTACCTCTCAGGTATCGATTCATCATAATATCATCTAAATATGAAGAGCTGGTAAAGCGTAGCTTATTTAATGTGTGCTATTATACAGTTATCATCATTATCTTCTCTGACCTCCCTAACAGCTTTACAATCCCAATGAGCTCTCTTGGCAACAATATTTGCCCTACTTTATGAGAACATTAATCACATGTCCATGTACTTTAAGTCACATCATTTCCCTGGTGTCCTGGGGCTCTGGTGCAACCTCTCATTGCAACAGTCCTCCTGGATTATGTTTATTCATACTGTGAGCATCCTCAATGATTCTAATGATGTCAGTGTATTTTTAAGTCTGCTGCCCTTTTGCTCATACATTTTAATATGGAGCCCCTGGCAAAAATGTTGCATTAATGTGCCGCCTGCAATGATGAAATATTTAACTTTTACTTTGTTAGTTTGTATTGCTGTTATAATCAGGTTGATTACTGCCAATTTTAAACAGAGGATTCGAGACATCAGTATAGATATTCAATCCCCAGTGTCATAGCACAGGCTGATGCAAGCAAGCAAAATACTTAAGCAATTTAAATAACTGAGGTGGCAGTATTAGCATGTGACATGAAGAAATGAAATAAAGCAGCAAAAAGCAATACAAATAAATCAAATTTCAGAAAGTTCATGCCCAGGGTGATTTGAAGATTTCAGTCTAAGCAGGGTTGAACATGAGGTGTTGTGACTCAGAGGAATATTAGTTGCCTAAGTGCATTGATCGACTTATAACTTAAAGTAAAATAAAATCATTAAAATGTGAATTAAAATTAAATGCAAATTTTATTTATACAAACTATTTGAATTATCAATTAAAATTATTTAATACATTTTTTTTAAATGCAACATTTATTAATCAGTGTTGTGTATGTATTATAAACATATAAACAAATGTATTATAAATTAATCAAATTAATTTACAAATACTTATTAAAATAGTTATTATTTAAAATAATTAAGCAACATTTGTTAGTTGAAAAAAAATCCAATTTACTTAAATATTTATTAAAATCATTATTATTTAAAATAATTAAGCAATAATTATTACTTTAAAATTCAGTGTCAAATCACATTTATTTAAAAATATTTATAAAATATTTATTATAAAGCATTTGTCACTGAAAGATAATACTTAATTTAATGAACTTTACAGTTTTTTAACACTTGTTAAGGGGGGATTCAGCCTCTGTTTTAGTCAACATGAAGTGAGACATAATCACAGATTTTTAAGGGCACTGATGACTGAACTAGCAGATTTTCATGATTCTGAGATGAAAACAGGGCAGAAGCTTTCCAAATCAGGGTCTAGCAATGCCTTTTGTACAATTAAATTAAATGTGTCAGCCATCATATTTCTGTAACAACTATATGCTTTTCACTGTCCATTTAGTGAAGCCTGTAAAATGAGGCCAGATAAACTACAGCCAGCCTCATTTATGATGCCCTGAAACTGAACTCGGAAAAGATCGCAGCCTCTTTTGACTGTGTGTTGAACCCAGGAAAAGTGCCACAGGCATAAAGAAATGTGATACATGTTTCAAGGTTGTGTAGTAATGCTTTAGCTGTAATAATGCTCAGATAAAAAAAGGGAAATATGTGTGTGCGTCCTAACAGCGACAGATCTAACAGAGCTGGCAGAGTCTCACAATTGCAAACATATGGAGAGTAGTGATCTGGCTCTCTTTAAGCAGCCTAGCAGATGACTGATTAGATGGCCTGATTCCTCCAATTATTTACATTTGAGGCATCCATGGGATTCTTCAGCAGGCACATTAGAGCTTGTTTGGAGTGTAAAACTGGCCAGAAGTAAAGGAAGAGTAATATGATTAGCGTAGCACTGGTCATTGCAGTAATAAACCCACATGCTTACAAGAGAGAGTTGTGTGGTCAACATTATTTCCTGAACATTTTCTTCTTGCATAATACAATAGGAAGCACATTATCATGTGCTTGGATATGACTCCAAGCTTAAAATCAATGAACTTGTCAATTATTCATCTGGATGATTTATGAAATCAGGTGACCCTTAATAATGGTCATAAATTAAGATGCATGAACACCTGGAATTGAGAGGTTAACATAATTCCAGCATATTTCACAAAAAAATAAGCACTTTCTTTGTCTAATTCATCATTTGTAATGTTAACACACATAAATTAAATGTAGGGTAGGTGATTTTGTAGAGGCTAGCAATAGCAAGGTAGCTTTGAAAGCATAAGATCCCACCATCCCTGCAAATCACTCTCCAAAGCCACGCATCCTCCAAAACACATGACCGCACTCCGGCTGACCAGAGGCACGATGAGAGATGGCGTTGGTGGAGGGTTGAATGCAATGCTGTCAGATTACCTTATGTCTCATTCACCGATGAGAAAACATTACAGTACGAAGCACATAGTATTACAATAATAACGCATTCTATTCTCGCTTGGTTTGCATAGCGTAATGAACACGCTGATGACATATAATTTCTGTGCGAACAGGGTGTGGAGGTATGCAAATACAGTTTGCATTTACATTTAGTCATTTCCAAATCGACTTACAAATGAAGACAATGGAAGCAATCGAAATCAACAAAAGAGCAATGATATGCAAGTGTTATGACAAGTAATGCCCTGTTCAGTTAGGTCCATATATATTTGGTCCAGCTCATTTTTTTATAATTTCGGCTCTGTATGCCACCAAAATATAATTTAAATTAAATGATAATGAATAGAATTTCAAGATGAAATTGAAATGCAGACTTTAAGCTTTAATTCAAGGGGTTGAACATAAATATAACATAAAATGCTTAGTAATTACAACAATTTTTATACATAGTCCCCCCCATTTTCAGGGGCTCAAATGTAATTGGACAAATAAATATAATCATAAATAAAATGTTTATTTTTGATATTTTGTTTAGAATCCTTTGCATGCAATGACTGCCTTAAGTCTGGAACTCATAGACATCACCAGAGACTGGGTTTCCTCCTTTGCCAGGCCTTTGCTGCAGCTGACTTCAGTTGTTGTTTGTTTGTGCGTTTTTTGCCTATAGTTGTGTCTTCAGCAAGTGAAATGCATGCTCAATCGGGTTGAAATCAGGAGATTGACTTGGCCATTGCAGAATATTCCACTTTTTTGCCTTCAAAAACTCCTGGGTTGCTTTTGCTGTATGTTTTGGGTCATCCTCCATTTGTACTATGAAGCGCCATCCAATCAACTTTGCTGCATTTGTCTGAATCTGGGCAGAGACTATATCCCTATACACTTCAGAATTCATCCGGCTGCTTCTGTCTTCTGTCACAGCATCACTAAACACCAGTAACTCAGTGCCACTGGAAGCCACAGATGAAACTCGAAAAACAACCACTTCAGGAGGTTGTTGTGAGAATTGCCCTTCTGCACTGATCAAGCAAGTGTCCGAAAATCTCAGATCATTGGCAGTATAAAAAAAAATAGAGTCTCAGACCAGCTTTGAAAGGTCAATTTTACCAGCACTACGGTCAGTGGACCATCGGGAGGTTGTGAGGGGCGGTGTGTGAGTGTCGTTTGAGACCGGAGAGCTCGCAGGCAGTCAGTAGCCCATGACCTGACATTTCGGATAGCCGAGGCAGGTGGGTCGAGGTGTGAGAGGGGAGGGTGTCGCTGGGGAACAGATACAAGTGTCTTTAAGGTTAAACGCTGCCTCAGCTGGGGCTACAGCAAGCTTGATGAGGCAGTTTTGGAGCTGGCGGAGGCCAGGTGGCTGAACCACCACTGGTGGATGAGATGTTGCCTTGTTGCCTTGTGTGAGACCAGCTGGAAATAAGCACAGTTAGGGCTGCACAGTTAATCAGTATTGCTATATGAGATTTTTAGGATATATATTTGGTCCAGCTCATTTTTTTATAATTTCGGCTCTGTATGCCACCAAAATATAATTTAAATTAAATGATAATGAATAGAATTTCAAGATGAAATTGAAATGCAGACTTTAAGCTTTAATTCAAGGGGTTGAAAAATAAAATGCTTAGGAATTACAACCATTTTAGACACAGCCCCCTTATATTCAGGGACTCAAATGTAATTGGACAAATAAATATAATCATAAATAAAATGTTTATTTTTGATATTTTGTTTAGAATCCTTTGCATGCAATGACTGCCTTAAGTCTGGAACTCATAGACATCACCAGAGACTGGGTTTCCTCCTTTGCCAGGCCTTTGCTGCAGCTGACTTCAGTTGTTGTTTGTTTGTGCGTTTTTTGCCTATAGTTGTGTCTTCAGCAAGTGAAATGCATGCTCAATCGGGTTGAAATCAGGAGATTGACTTGGCCATTGCAGAATATTCCACTTTTTTGCCTTCAAAAACTCCTGGGTTGCTTTTGCTGTATGTTTTGGGTCATCCTCCATTTGTACTATGAAGCGCCATCCAATCAACTTTGCTGCATTTGTCTGAATCTGGGCAGAGACTATATCCCTATACACTTCAGAATTCATCCGGCTGCTTCTGTCTTCTGTCACAGCATCACTAAACACCAGTAACTCAGTGCCACTGGAAGCCATGCATGCTCATGCCATCACACTGCTCCGCCATGTTTCACAGATGATGTTGTATGCTTTGGATCATAAGCTGTTCCAAGCCTTCTCCATACGTTTTTCTTTCCGTCATTCTGGAACACTTTGATCTTAATTTCAAACGTCCAAAAAATGCTTTTCCAGAAGTGGTCTGGCTTTTAAGATGTTTTTTTTTGGCAAAGTCTAATTTGGCCTTGTTCGCACCTTGTGGGGAACCCTCTATATTTGCTCTTGTGAAGTCTTCTCTTGATTGTAGACTTTGATAATGACATGCCTACCTCCTGGAGAGTGTTCTTCACTCGGCTGGAAAGGTTTTTTGGTTTCCTTTGACCACATGATGTGAGTTCAGAGTAACAGCTTCCAAATGCAAATGGCACACTTATAATCAACTCCAGAACTTTTACCTGCTTAATTGATGTAGAAATAACAAAGGAATAGCCTACGCCTGTCCATGAAAAGCTTTTGAGTCAATTGTCCAATTACTTATTGTCTCTTGAAAAAGATGGGAGGTACATATTAAAGATCTGTAATTACTTAACCTTTCCTTCAATTTTGATGTGAATACTCTCAAATTAAAGCTCCGAGTATGCACTTTAAGCTCGTATTCATTATATAACTGTAACTTGAATATATTTTGGTCAGCAGCTAAACTAATAAAAATTGTGCCTGTGTCCAAATACGGTATTCTAATTTGTTGAGATAGTGAACTGGTGGGTTTTTGTTAAATGTGAGCCAAAATCATCACAATTAAAAGAACCAAAGACTTAAACTACTTCAGTCTGTGTGCATTTAATTTATTTAATACACGAGTTTCACAATTTGAGTTGAATTACTGAAATGAACTTTTCCACGACATTCTAATTTATTGAGATGCACCTGTATATATGGACCTAACTACATACATTGACAGGCAGACAGGATAGCCTATCGTAGCTATCAAAACATGGGATATGATTGAACGAACATGTTATGGTCCTACACCTTTCACAGATGATATAAATACATATAAATACATTTATACCACTTAACTTAAGGATTGCTATCGGGATGTGAAGAGACTTTCAACCAGCATAAAAAAAATGTTTTGAACCAAATCACCTACCCTGCATTTAATGAAAATATATACCAATTTTTCCACACTTTTCTTCAACCTTAGATAAACTGAAACATGGAAGCACAAAGCAGAGTTAAATGGGATTGTAGAAATCAATTACGTTTTCATCCAAACAGCTGAGGTCACCCTTTTACTCCACACATCTGTGAACATGTGACGCCGAAAACAATGGCAATGGAAAGAGATCCAGCCATAGCCCATTTTATTTCTTTTGTGATATCAAATTACCACCTGTCTGAAATTGCACTACTGACAGCTGCTGTAGCTTTGCAAACCAAAGGGATATCAGCCAGAGAGCTGTGGCCTATCATCAACCACTGTGCAGAAGGAAAGGCACACGGTTAGCTGACTGGGGAACAGTCAGGTGGCCAAACAAGGTTGGCTCTGCCAGGCACAACCAAAATTTTCCCCAAAAATCATTTCCAAACATTGATTAATGGGATGGCGGGTGTGTAAATGCTTTCTCACATCCCAGATGGAGAGAAAGCTCCAAGGTTGTTTTCCTCTCAAAGGAGGCAGTCTGTTCTAAAGCAGAGCATTCAGTCTAAAGTAAATGGGATGTTGAGAAGGGTGCTCCGGGCGGCAGAAGCATAGAACATGATCAGCTTTTCCAGAACGGGGGTACATCTGAGACGTCCCGAGCACTGTCAGAGAGATCAGCGAAGTCAGGGTGACATTTGCTGGAAATAACATTTTCTGGAGTGTCATCCAAAAGACCATATCAGTGAGAGTCAGCCAAGCAGCCGTACAGGAGCAGAGCCGTGAGAACACTCCTATTCTGCTGGAATATTGTTGAGGGACATTAACTGGAAAATGAGTTATTTTCTCGTCTTTGTGAACAATCTTATCAAGTGCAAAAGAATACTAGAGAAAAAGAGGCTCACGATGCAACACAAAATGGTGGTGCTTCCATGTGTGAACTTGATCCAGATCATATTTTGTTTCAGCAGAATTAAAACACTTAGCATCCGTTCACACAGAATGCGTCACACATTCAACTGTACTACCCCTGCTGAAAAAAACAAAACAATAGAAACTATCACAGAAGTCCTAATGGTTTCCACTACAAGTGCCACTAAAACATTACAAAACATAAGTTGTTAATAATTAAAACCATTACCTAATGGTTTCCAGTAGCAATGTTGCCAAGTTTGCGGTTTTCCCTTAGAACTGGGCTGCTTGTACACTGTTGCTGTGGGTTGATTTTCCCCCCATTTTTGACTGAAATGCATATATGTAAATATTTTACAATCTGCCAATGATAAAACTGTGCTATATGAGTTTTGTGAGGTAGGGTCATAAACAGATTGATGATTTTCAAGTTGAAATTGTGTATAACGCATAACAGTAAAATATGTATTTTAGGTATGGGGCTGGCAAGCATTGAGTTTTGATATTTGGATAGGATCATTGGGCTTGTTATGGGCTATTTTTAATTTTGCCTTTGGCCTAGTTTTGTTGCACAAACATGGCAACCCTTTCCAGTAGTGTGTTTTGTGTGAACTGCCCCTAAAGGACACGTTTTTTGCATTCCACTTCTCTGCTTTTCAATAACTTTACTATTTAAACATGCACTAAATGGACGTGTCAAGTTAAAATAATTTTAAAACACTTGGACCGTTCATTTTCTACATTTCACTGCCCTGCTTCTCATGTTTTTCAGTGCAAAAACAGCCCTTAGATGTCCCACTGAACTGGATATGCAGTTTCATAAACTGTCAGTGTTACAAACATTTACACTGTACTTGGTATTGAAAAGATGTTTAAAACGTTGTAGACATCAAAATATCAAAGCAGTGATGTGCAAACAAAAGAAGCTACACTCTTAAAAATAAAGGTTCTTCAAAAGGTTCTTCAAGCGATGCCATAGAAGAACCATTTTTGGTTCCACAAAGAATCATTCAGTAAAAGGTTCTTTAAAGAACCATCTCTTTCTTGCGTTTTTGTAATCTGAAGAACCTTATTTCGCCACAAAAAACCTTTTGTGAAACAGAAAGGTTCTTCAGATGTTAAAGGTTCTTTATGGAACCATTTAGACAAAAAGGTTCTTCTATGGCATCGTGAAGGACCTTTATTTTTAAGAGTGTAGACCTTTTAACTTTTCGGAGCCATTCCTTTTCAGGTTACTTTTTTAACCTTCTGGTCTCAATATTTTTATTGAAAGTATGAAGTCAATTCCTCTTTAGTTTACAGCTAGTCATTAGCCTTTACAAGATAGTAGACGAAATTTAACCATTTAAATTTAACTGCTTTTCAATAAAGCAGCTAGCAGTTGGTCATTGGAACAGTTCACTCAAAAATGTTCTTCTGTGAATCACAAAGTGTTATTTTTTTTCTATGCGTATGAAAATATTTCAAATGAAATACCATGTGAATGCAGTTATATACTGTATGTAATTTAGGTGACAGTCGAACTGCCAAGCTACCGTCTTAAGATGGATTTTCCAACAGCAGTTTTCCAAGTTCTCTGGACTGTCAGACAGATTTTTAAACATGTTCAATGCAGACTCCATTCGAGAATATCAAAGACTAGAATACAGAATAGTAGGAAAAGGAGGAAAAGCCAATAGGCTATATGCTGCCAGTTCACCTTCAAGAGAACAGGGGAATGTTGTCAGATTCCTCTCCAGCTCTCTGATTTTCTGATTGATGGTCTCGTCTCCTGCAAACTGACATGAAGGTGAAGGAGAGGGTCTCGAGCAACTGCCATTGGACTAAGGAGGAAAAACAGGCATGTGCTTTTGCTGTACAAGCGTCTTCAAAGGTGAAATTCGTAAGTAATGAAAAAGCAGATCCAGCAGCTAATCTGAATTTGAGCAAAATGTTCAGCGGTGTAGGGTAATTGTCAGGTTTCTCGCGTTCGCATGTGTTGAATACCAACGGGTGTTTTGAGCAGCTGTTTTGATACTCACCACACACCCTTACTCTGATTGTGCAATGGGTGCGATTATAGCATTCTCTGTTAATTAGATGAAGCTATATGACACAGTTTCTTCCCCCACATCCATGTCTAAATTAGTTTGAAAGATCTGCAGGTATAATTGTCACGCATAATGTCATGGTTACAAATGGGTTTACAGGGTAACTATATAAAGAAGCACACTCTCTGGGCAGTTGTATTGGAATTAAACCACAATTACCATGTAGAGTGGTGATTGATTGGGTGACCGCACAGTACAACAGGCAGCAAGGTCGTTTAATGGCCTGATAGTTATTAGACCTATTTCAGGAATCACTGGAGTGTATTGCAATGGGAGTTTAAAAAAGGTAAATTTATCTGCCAATTAGAAAACAACTTAGGGTAACGTGACCGTCATGCTCAAGCAAGCAATATTTCAAGATAAATAACTCTTATATTTATATGTGCATATTTATACTAATTGTATTAATGTACTGTATAGTCATTGGCCGACTGTAGTATACATTATTACATATACATATATATGCAGTACATATATACATGTGATTTTTATATGTAGCTGATGATTATTTGAAGTTAATGCACAAATAAGTCATTAAATAAGTCATTTTGTGTTAGAGGATATAGTACAAATGGAAATGGATTTATTTGTGTATAATAAAATTATTTAATTTATTATTAATTTAAATAATTAATAGCCTAAAATTGGTCAATACTTTTGGAATGTACAATAGTCATACGTGACACTGCTTTTGAATCAATAGTTTTGTGTATTTCTGCGACTTTGGAGTCCCCTATAGTTAATTAGGTGGAATTCACTGTAGTAAATATAGCTCTACACGTGCATTTGTAACTGCCGAACAGCAATAAGCCCTTTCACGAAGTTTTGCACCCACTCACCAAATTTACATCCTCCCAGAACAGACGTTTGGAGGGGCGCTTATAATGAAGAACATGCATATATGGCTGTTGCAAGTTGAGCTTGGGAAGTTAAACTTTAGCTGTAGTATGAGCTTTTTTTCTGTTAATATTCCTGGTGCCTGGCGGGAAATAAGACACATTTGTCAAATTCACCCAGTGTTAACTTGATCTATTCCAATCACACCTCAACAATGAAGTGGAACAGTTGTGGTGTAAGTGCTAAAACAGTATTCTCAATAGTTTTGTGTATTTCTGCGACTTTGGAGTCCCCTATAGTTAATTAGGTGGAATTCACTGTAGTAAATATAGCTCTACACGTGCATTTGTAACTGCCGAACAGCAATAAGCCCTTTCACGAAGTTTTGCACCCAATCACCAAATTTACATCCTCCCAGAACAGACGTTTGGAGGGGCGCTTATAATGAAGAACATGCATATATGGCTGTTGCAAGTTGAGCTTGGCAAGTTAAACTTTAGCTGTAGTATGAGCTTTTTTTCTGTTAATATTCCTGGTGCCTGGCGGGGAATAAGACACATTTGTCAAATTCACCCAGTGTTAACTTGATCTATTCCAATCACACCTCAACAATGAAGTGGAACAGTTGTGGTGTAAGCGCTAAAACAGTATTTTATAGTCAAAAATAATTCATTTTTATTTTTTGAAAAATTAATATTGCTGTCCTTTGCCACGCCACCTCTGTCAAAATATCTTGCTTCCACTACTGCAAGTGCCATCCGTTCATCCATTTGCAGGGAAACGCCTGCATTGATTACAGTGTAATATGATGGCTGTGAATTTTCATTTTTATGTTTTATCGCAAGGAAAAAAATAACATGAAATGAAAAGGAAAAGAAAAGAAAAAAGAACAGACATAACAACAGAAATAACTGTTACAGAAATAACAACGTCACCTCAACTAGTAAAAAAAAAAAGTTATAATTTTTTAAGAAACTTGTTATCAATGAGTTTATAATGAGATTTTACAATAAGGGAAATCTTAACAGGAAAGACATCAAATGCAAATCTTGAGAAATTTGTTTTTGTGAATAAAACCTTTCCAATGCAACACAAAGAAATGAACAAGAAGATCAATAGCGTGGTCACTACCTGAAAAATAAGGAAATTATCTTTCAATGATAGTTTCAAAAGTTTCTTCCTCAACTTTGCAGAAGGTAAGAGACATCAACCAAATAAGCAATTTGGGAGCTGGTTGTACACACAGTATGTACAATCTTAAAATGTGTCGTACTGTAGATGGCTTCAGTCATAATAAATAGGCCTAATTTTTGTGAACTTTACAATGGCAGGTCAAAGCATGCTACAATAAATGTGAATATTTTTCAAATGCCACATATATCAGCCAGTTTTTCTTTAATTATCAGTTCTTAATAATTTTTCTGCTGACCTTGTGTTGGCACACCAGATCTGCTGTTGAAAGAATGTGCTGCGGTAATGAGTAGCATAGCTGTGGGTGAAATGGTGTTCTTGCTCGTGCTGCTTTGTGTGGTAATTTGCAGATGCTAACATCCGGTGTGTCTCTCATGACCACAGCAGCCTTCTAATCAAATCAACAGCAGAAGGGTTGAAAGGGTCTGCCGTGCTATTGGAGCAAAGAAACTGCTCCATTTCAGCTCTGTGGTAGACCGTTGCCTGTGAATCAAATAGCAGGATAAACTTTTGATATGGTAAAACCTCATACAACTTCAGCATTAAGGCATCTCCAGCTGTGAGGATTCTGTCATTATTTACTCACCCTCATGTTGTTCCAAACCCATATGGCTTACTTTCTTCTGTGGAACAAGAAATTAGATTGAACAGTCTTTTCTATACTGGAAAGGAAAATGCAAGCATAAAAGTAGCCCATGTAATTATATTTCAAGTGTTCTGGAATCATAAATGTTCAGAACGACATTAAGAAAATAATACATTTATTATTAGTATACAGCATCATGTAACAAGTTTAGAGATCCTGTAACATTTCACAGAAATGTAAGTTCTTTATGCATTATAGCTCATCATCTTAAATGCTGTTCAGATTGCATGAATGTAAAAATGACTCTCAGAGGCACGGCTTCGCTACTTATGTGAACATAATCATTATTATTATAGAAAGTGTTCATGTTGAAATGCCGTCATACTCTTACATCATTTTGCAGCTCTTCAACATTAGGTAGGTGAAAATGACACACAAAAAAAAAAGGTTACACAACACTGTAATTAAATTGAAATATGTAGTGTCTCATGCAAAACGACACAAATTACTTTTACTAAATTATTTATTGCAAAAAGTTGTGCAGTGGTATGTAACCCAAAAAGGCTAATGCACACATCTGATTAACAACTCTTCTACATGTAATATTTTTCATCTGATAGTAGATTGATTAAAAAGTTGAAAGCCTTAGACATAAAGCGTATTTGTTTAACTTTTTCAAATTGTCTTCAACAGAACTAAGCCTAAATTAGCTTAAATTGGGCCTGCTGATGCTAACCAGCCAAACCTTGACCCCAGTTAAACCAGTCAAAGAATAAAGAACTTTAATTCTGTTGAGTTTCTTTTTTTAACACTCCTCTCAGTCACCATCCTCTCCTCTCATGATACCTTTTTCAAGATCTACAAAAGACATGAAATAAGAAACCAAGGTCGAGCTATTAAGAGATGCTTAGAATGTGGGCTGTCAATATTTCATCAGTATTAATCCGGTAGTGAAAGTCACAACGTGACATTGTTACAAATACTTTTCAAAAGACAAAGGCACGAAGATGGAAAAACAATGATCCATTCAACTGAATGCCAACTAGGTAACAATGAGCGTAATGAAAGGAACAAAGTCTTTAACTAACATAAAGATATTTCTACTCATTTGTATTTTGAGTTTAAGGTCAAAGACAGGAATATTTAATGAATCATAGTTCCCTTGATCAGTTTTGAAAAAAAGAGCTGTTTTTCAACCCCCTTTCTGTTAAACAGCATGTGTGGCTGCATATCTTTATAAACCGTGTGAGTTCACATATTCTAACACTCAAAAATAAGCGATTTTCTGCCCCGTGATACTGTGATCTATTGCGTGAAGGCTCACAAAGATGACGTTAAGAAACTACTTCCATTATAAATAATTGATCAACTGATCATAGATATGCTTAGTTAAAACAGGTTTGCGGATTGAGACATCAGATAAATTGTCCAGGCCTTCCTCTTGGGTTGTTTCTTTTACATTGTCATTTTTCATTCATGCTAAGATTAGACAGCCTCAACGCAATTATCTATAAAGCGCTTCACCAGGCTCAAATAATACATGAGTCAACTCATTGTGTCTCTTGTTGGGGTCAATTAGCTTCCCACTGACTCCAAAATAAAGTTGATAACACTTGTTTGCCTTTGAGCACAGATTATTTTTTTTTGCCGTTTTTTCATTTGAAGGTTAACATTTGATTTCTGTTTATAATCTTTAGATCTGACACGATCTTCTTTATATAATTATTTATAAAAAGACCAGCAAGAATCTCAATGCATGCACAGTTACCCTGAAAGAAATTTGGTTTTACTTTGTAACTCAGTTTTTAGTCAGACATTGCTGGTACATTTCACAAATAATTACACAGAAACAGCAAGTAACATAC